TTATCATTTTGTATGATCTTGTTAATTCTTAAACTTTAATGAGCTTCTAACTTAATACGCACATTGATTTTGGTTTTGTTAATCTCCAAACCTTTCCTTTTCTGTTGACAGGTTCCTCAACATCAGCACGTCCTAGAAAAAGATGCTCAAACTATAACTCTAAGGAGTTTACTTAGCACTGGACCACAATCAAATCCCCTTCGTCTCGAGCAAAATAGAGAGGAGATCCCTCTGACGCACAATCAAAAGAATCACCAAGGACATGTGCAACTACCAAGTCAAGTGCCTGGACAGCAGGGCCAGAGAAATCCTGAACCTACCAGAGAAATGTGTCTGCAGTCTCATGCTGAGTCATCGGTAGACCCTCAGGAGCAGAGAAGATCCCTTCTAGTGGAGCAACAGCAGCAACCCAAATTGGGTCAGCAGCAGTACAATCAAAGTCAACTGCCTGATGGTAATGTATTGCAATGGAACCATAGAAATATGCAAATGGCTCATTCAAGAAATCTACTGCCTCAGCAAGAGCCATTACTGTTGCAATCAACTGTGCAGAACAGCAGACCTCATTTCCAATCAGAGCAGGGGCAACAGCAGCAACAAGAACTAGAACAACAACAAAATGTACAAAATCACCCACCTGAATGTGAAGAATTCTCAGAGGTACAGGGAGCGCCTCCAGTGGTCAAGGAGACAACAGCCCTGGCACCACTTGCAGTACCCCAGCCTTCATCTACAACACAAGCTTCAACACAAGCTTCAACACCTGAAGCAATACCTCCCCTGGTGTCCATTTCTACCACTGATATTGATGAGTTGTTACAGAGTAGAACGTGGGTTAGTATTCAAATTATACTGTCTTCTACTGGATGCTTTACAGATTTACCACTGGTTTTTTTTTTTTACAAATTTTCTGTCTTCTCATAGATAACTGATTTACCTGGAGACGCAAATTCAATATCATCTATGTTAGATGATGACATCCTGAAGGGGCATGATCTAAAGGTATGCCAAATCCAGCATTTAGTTATAATGTGCTAGGATATTTTAGTTCTTTGGTGTAATTCCTCATAGGATTCACATTATTTTTGAATAGCTTTTTCTTGCCAAAATAATCTTACCTCATTACCCATTTTTGTTTGTCAAAATCTGCGTCTTGTAAGTTTTCTGTGGAAAAACAGGATTGGGTAGTTTTACACTGACTCCAAAACATATACACAACCAAAAAGTTATAAGTTGTTTTTGGCTCTATAATTTTTATCTATTTCTGTTTAAGCATAGATGTGTTTTGTTTTTGTCAAAAGTTTACTTCTTTCCTTTCCTTTAAGTTTTTGTAGTAATTTAAATAGTGGATAATTAAATTTTGAAAAATCAACAGTGTTATTTGTGGCTGGTTTCTACTTGCTCAACTTAAAAGAATTGTTGAAGTGTTGTACATTCAGAAATTGCCTCTTAATGCCTTAACTGAATACAAGACAAACCCAACTAATTGGCTCCAATCCTATCTTATTTTAATGTGGTTTTATTTATTTTTTAAAATAGACCACTTTGTGACTTTTTGTTATTTCATTATGTTTCAGGCAAAGGAGGCTTCAGTACCAGAGAGAACAAGCAGCTCAGGAAATCCGAGGAATGAACAGGAACCATTAGAAGATGAGCTGTTTCCCTCATCAATTACTATTGAAGAAGCTGGCTTCGAAAGTGCATCAACAAGTCCTGAGGCTAATGCTTCACAAGATACAGTCGTATCTGAGGACGAAGAAAGTGGTCTTGATGATGAATTGGATAGGATATTAATCAGTGCTGAGGAATTTGAGATTCCACCAACACCAACCCCTTCTCACTCAGAAACTTGTTTAAAAACAAAAATAGGAGATCAGGATGACGATGTTGATGATGGAATTACAGATGTACTTGAAACACTTGATCAACTGTCAGATATTGAGAGTGAAGAGGAGGCAAGTCAAGTGGACTCTTCAGCACAAGAAATATCTGCAAGACCCTGCAATTCATCATATTCAGAGCAACAATCTGACAGTGACTTCAATAAGTCAGATGATGAGGATGATGAGGATGTCGATGACGATGTTGATGATGGTATTGCATCTTTTCTTAAAGATGTTGATGAGTTCTCAGAGGATGATGAAAGCTTATCAGATGCTGATGCTTCTGTTAAACCAGGCACAACAATTCCGGGTAGCGCTTCCAATAAGCCAAAGGGTGGTATTCAAGCTGAATCGGTTGTAACACCCGAATTGATTCAGTCATCTGGACCACCTGAGCTAGGCTTACCTCATCAGTCAGAAATTGCTCCAGTTGAAACTTCTAAGCTAGAAGCACCTAATATCAGCAAGTGCAAAACAACTTCTTCATCTGCTGTACCCAAAGCAGCGTCCGCTGGCTTAGTGACTCAAGCTGAGGTAGTTCCACATGGGCTTTTAACGGTTCCCGAAGTTGAAAACAGTAAATCTGACCTTCATGCTCAAGCAGAACCAGCTTTACCAGTTCTACTTAATGAAGTCAAAGAAACTAGTTCCAACCCTGAGTCAAACCCTGAACTGGCTTGTGCGTTATCTACTGAAGCCGAAGTCGCTTCACCTGTTCTTGTTCAACTCACTGAAACTTCTTCTGACCATGAAGCTCATTTTGAAGCTGTTCCTTCTGGGTTATTTTCTAAAGCCAAAATTGCTTCACATGTTCTAAACGAACTCAAAGAAACTACCTCTGACATTGAAGCACAACCTGAAGAAGCTCCTTCTGGGTTATCTGCTGATGCCAAAACTGCTTCACCTGCTCTTAATCAACTTGAAGAAACTTCTTCTGACTCTGAAGCTCCACCTGAAGCAGCTCCTTCTGAGTTATCCACTGAAGCCGAAGCTGCTCCCTCCGTTGTTCCTATTCAACTCGCTGAAACTTCTTCTGGGTTGTCATCTGAAGCCAAAACTTCTTCACCTCTTCTTAATCAGCTTGAAGAAACGTCTTCTGACCCTGAATCTCACCCTGAACCGTCTTCTTCTGGGTTATCTGCTGATGCCAAAACAGCTTCACCTGTTCTTAATCAACTTGAAGAAACTACTGCTAACTCCGAAGCTCCACCTGAAGCGGCTTCTTCTGGGTTGTCAACTGAAGCCGAAGCTTCTTCACCTGTTCTTAATCAGCTTGAGGAAAC